TCGGTCGCAAATCGGTCGCAATTTTTAAACCTGCGACGTCGTTTTACATGCAGTCCAATTTGCGACCGATTTGCGATCAAATAAGTCGGTCGCAAAAAATCGGTCTCAAATAAGTCGCACATCGGTCGCAAAAATCATTCCAAATTTTGAACGGCTAAATTTTGCGACCGATAAACCTTAGCCGCAATATCGGTCGCAAATCCGTCGCAACTCGGTCACAAACTGAGAAACAAGATCGCGAGAATTTTTAGCGCTAAAATTCCCGACGGTTTTTTCTTCTGTAGTAAATCTGTCGCAAATTTGCGACCGATATCTGTCGGTCGCAAAAATCGGTCGCAATTTAGCGTTTTTTTTGTAGCGGTCGCAATTTAGCGTTTTTTTTTGTAGTGTAAGGATTTAGCTAACTAAACCAACTAAGGATAAGATAAGCAAAATCTTAACACTTTAACGGATTTGTTAACTAATCCAAATCAACTAAAGCCTTAACTAAATCTAAAACAAATCAAGGAATAAATCAAGGATTATAGGAGGCCCAACCCATTATTATTGATACAACTCAAAATAAGCAAAATTGGACTAACTAATCTCGCTAGAGGCAGACGCTAGCATGGCCTAGGCGTGCCAATTCGTACAGGCGTGCATCATGGTGATTGTTTCCTCTCGCAAGTCAGACGCGGGCACGGCCTGGGCGTGCTATTTGGCACGGGCATGCGTCATGGTGACTGTTTCCTCTCACAAGTCAGACGCGGGCAAGGCCTGGGCATGCTTCCTGTTACTTGTTTTTCCTCCGCAAGTCAGACGCGGGCACGGCTTGGGCGTGCTATTTAGCACGTGCGTGCTTCATGTTACTTGTTTTTCCTTCGCCAGTCAAACTCTAGCACAGCCTGGGCGTGCTACCTTGCACGAGCGTGCTAACCTAGCACGGTCTGGGCGTGCCATATGCTGGAATTTCATATTCCATCTCAACATGTGCTTCCATCAATGATTTTCATATTCCATCTCAACATGTGCTTCCATCAATGTGAGAAACTTAGGTGTTCTCCATGCTTCCTTGAGCTCTATGGTTGAGTGGTAGCGAATCCATATGAGAACTTGAGTTTGTTTTTTTAGAAACTAATGCCATTCTCATAGCGCTTCACCATGATTAACGTGAGATTGTAGAAAATTGGATAAAAATCTGATTAATAATGAAAAGAGTTTTAAGTATTGCTTATATATAGCTTTAATCATAAATATCTGGCTAACTTCTATCTTGCCAGCTAAGAAAGGAAGTTGCAATAACTAACATTTGAAACTAATTTTATTGCTCAATTTTTCTTCTAACCATTTTTGTGTTTCTAGTACTATATAATCCAAGACAAACCTTTAATTATTAGGTTAAATCTGGCTTATTAAATAATTATATGATGTCAAAGAGCCCTCTTGATACATTATTTCCTCCAATGTTTCTCTATCAGTGAAACTCGCAGGCATATGCATGTCCTTTGAAATGACATTCCCTCCTTATCTAATGAATGCTAAAAGTAAAACTTGAGTTAGTTTGTTTCCACATAGTTTTAGACAACTAATTCAAACCTCAATCAAAATTTGCACGTAAACAATTGAAAATTAATTTTTCTTTTTCAACTTTGCTTTCTCTATTTAAAACAATCTAAATTATATATTGTTGGCTCAAGGGTAAATTCTATCTTGAGATTTTGATGATTATGCAAAATAAATAATTTAATATTTTATATGTGCTAATATTATTTTATGCAGATTTATTTATTTTTAAATATGAAAATTGATAAAGAAGACAAGTTCCTACAAATCCAAAATTAATTGAAGACCATGAAGACTATTGAAGATTTTAGTGGTTAGTATCTTAGGATTTATTGTAGGATAGAGAGAATATTATTTTATAAGCATAAAAATATTTTTTCTCTCTCTCTCAAAATATTTAAGTTGAAGACCTCATCGAAGACTATTGTTATAAGATGTTTTAGGTGGTTGTATCTTTAGGGATTTTAGTGGTAGGATATGGGAATATTATTCTTATATTAAGCAATAAATGAGGTTTTTCTCTATTCTCAATTGTTCTTGAAATTATTACCATGTTAATTTTAAAGTTCAATCAGTGATCTTTGTGGTTGTAGTTCACTTATTTCCTAATATATTAAAAATCCTTGTCCTTATTTTGTTGGTTGGTCTAATCTATAAATATTGAAAACGATTTCTACTATTCGGTTTTATTGTTCGAAAATATATTTAAGTAAATAAATTCCGAGAGTATCTTGTGGCTTTTTAAGTTGACTTCTTTTTTGAAGATTTTGCTTTAATATTTTTGGACAACAAATAGTATAAGTCTTCTCATTGTTTTCCCAGCTTTTTTGGATGTGTTCACATTCGGGTTAAAAGGCTAGATGCACGTCTTTCTAAAAAGAGGATTCTCTCATTTCCGCTTTCTATTTGAACGTTTTCCTTGCGGTTACGAAAACAGTGGGTATTTTTTTTATATAATAGAGTATAGTGCCATTTGATCATATGTTTAAATTCTTCTTTCGACTCTCGTCTCAGAAAAGCTCCCTTATATTCTTTCGTTCTTTTTTTGCTTCATAGTCGTGAAAATATATTTTTTAAGTAATAGAATTTTAGTAACATCTTTTGATTAAAAAATCAGTTTTTGTTTCTTTTTAAATCGTTTCTACTTCTTTCTGTTTTCCATTTGTGCTTAATATTCTTTTTTTTGAATGTTGCATTTCTCTCTGTCTATTATATGATTTGCTGTAATCTGTTGTATGACCGGCTTTGGTATATTTGATATAGGTGGTTTATATTAATGAGTCTTTTAAGTGAAGATCTATTTGGAAAGTGTTTCTAAGGGACACTAGTTCTTCCATTGTGAGGTTATTTTCTATAGTCTTAGATGTGAGTTTTTGTCCTCTGCAAAAACAAAAAAGGTTGAGGGGTGTTGACTATGAGTTGGTGGTGGAAATCTAGGAGACAAAGGGTATAGTTCTATGGTGTGTGATTTCTATTGTTGTACTTTTTGGTTGTTCTCTACCTTGGGATTAATTGTATGTATTATTGATATTGTATGATGGAATCTGTCAAGTTATATTGTATATGTTCTTGTGGGTTGGTATAGTTTTTATTGTATTTGTGGTGTTCGGTATGTGTCGAACCACTATATTTTGGTTATATCGCTGTATTTTTTATCTTTTTTTTATTCCTGAGTTCTACTTGAGTTCTAATTTTATTTACACAATTGTTTAATGCTGTTAGAATGGAGAAATTGTTAATGTGGGTTTTGTATGTTTCTGGTTCGTACTTGATTATGTCTTTTATCTTTATTGGAACATTGAACTCTGGAGTTTTTCTGTAGTGTGATTAGACCAAGTTCTAATTTGTTCTTCGCTATTAGTTCAGTATAAATCAGGCAATGTTCGAAATTATAATCAGTAGTTTTAGAATTTGCATTGCTTTTGTTGAAGTAGTGTGGTCTAAAAAATTTCAATAATAAATTTTTCACAATGGATATCTATTAATATTGGTTAGACTTTATGAAGTAGGTGAGTAACGACAATTATAACCTGTTCCTTCATAAAGTGTTTGTGAGAGTTGATAAGATTTGGTGCAAGCCAATTCTATATGCAGCAAAGACATGACTCTTACGAAAGTCTATAATCAATCTGTATCAAAATTTTTTTGTGAGCTAAGTTGCGAGGGAGGACTTAATAACTAACTCTCTACAAGCGCTTCTAAATTTCCGTCTGCAGTATACGTAATCGGTGGAGTGTGTTATGTTTGAAATTAAGTTGCAATAGAATTCTGATTTTATTTTTGAAATTAAGTTTTTTTTTTTTTTAATCATTTCACCCCCTCTTGAGTTGTGCTATATATAAACGGGACCCACATATATACTAAATTTTTATTGTATGTGGTTAACCATGTCTAATTTCTTTTTGGATAAGATGATTGTATAGGTTTCTTTGGTTGAAAATTTACATTTTGTGATTGTATTTGGGGCTAATGTACACTGCTTCAAGACGATTGAAAGTAACAGTTTTTGTATTGCAAATATTATTTATATGTGAAAATAATTCCATTATGTTTAATGATTTTTGCTTATTATTTACATTATATGAAATAATAAAATATTGAAAAATATGTGGTATTTTGAATTGTGCAAAATATACTTGATTAAATTTAATATTAATCTTGGTATTTTCTTAAAAAAATTGCGACCACGGTATAAAGTCGCAAAAGTTACATGCTATTGATATTCAAAATTATCATACTTATTGTGATTAGACTTTAGTTGCTTATAGTGTTTGGATTATAGTTACAGCGATGAGATTTGTCATCAATAATTGTTGATATCATAACTTCTAAATTTTTAAATATGACGGTAAGATCATCGCAATTAGTTTAAAAATGTGGTCAAAATTAACTTTTTTGCAACCAATAAATATGATACATTTTCGCTAAAACTCAATTGCGATAAGAAAACTTTTCTCATCCGTAAAACCTTTTTCAGTGTAGCCTATTATGACCGTATATTTATAGTCACTATTTATGTTTGACCATGGGAATTAGACTTATAACGATAATTTCTTTTCACTAATAAGCAGTTTTCTTGTAGTGGTCCTCATTTTATTTTCTGATTTTCTTTTTTTTTTTTTAATTAAAAGTGTCTCCTAATATAGGTTTATTGCCTTTTATTAAAATAAGTAAATATTCATTTTTCATAACTATTATTCTCAATTTTTCTTTAAAAAAATGTCATTTTTTTACTCATTACCATTAATTATGTTTATTTTATTAAATAAATAATTACCCCTTATTTGGTTAGCATCTTAATTAGTGTATATAATTTAACAAGAACAAGCTTCTAACTATTTAATAAAGTTAAAAGTATTTGATTCTTAAACATATAAACAAGGTAATTATTACAAATAATTTTTAAAAAAGCAATATAACTTAAGTATAATAATTATGAAGCGAAAATTTTCGACTAATTAAATAAGAAAGCCAAGCTAATATTCCTTATTATTTATTTAATTTTGCTTTCTGGCAAAGCATAACTTAAAACATAGCAGGAACTAATGTCCCTTGTGTTTGTCAAACACATATGTTCTTTTCATCAAGGATCAAGATACATGCTTCAATTTTTCTCTCAATTTTCCTTACATAGATACTGAAGTAATTTTCTTGACTCTCGCCAAACAATTGTCTTTTGGTCTTGAATGAGGTAAGTACATTACCTTAGATTCAGGAGTGAGACGCTCAAGCCTTTAACATGAGAAAATAAATTTAACAACAACAATTATATAAGCAAGTAAAATTAATAATAATAAAGCAAGTAAAATTAAAAAGGATAAATGTGTAAATTAAGTACGTACTGATAGTTAAGAAGGAAATGGTGTAGAAAAATAGAAATTTCAAGCTTAGCCAGGTCATTTCCAGGGCACAACCTACTTCCTGCTCCGAAGGGAAGGAAAGTTCCTGCTTTTGCAGTGTGATTCTACATATGGAAAGAAAGCAAGCATCTTATTATTCTCATTTTTTAAATATCTAATAGAAGAAAAATGTATAACAACATATATATATATAATTGAACGAGATCTATGACTTTAATTATTAATAAGCAATGTAATATGAATTTAATAGATAAATTTTAGAAGTAATTAAAATGGATTAAATTGATGATATTAGTACTGAGATTCTGAAGTGTTTATATTATGAAGGAAGATTGGTGTATATGAATTATAAGATGATTTTCTTAAGCTTTAGTCTCAGGTCATTTCTCTATGGCAGCACTCTGCTTCCCTCTTCTTCTTGTATATGTGAAGTGAAGTTCCTGCTTGTCTAGTGTGATTCAAAATACATATGGATTAAGAAGTCATATGCATCTTAGTAATGTTTCTCATTTTTAAATATTCTACATAGAGAAATAATATTGTTATGAAGCGAGATCATATATATAAGGTTAATAGTATATTAAGTATGGTATTATTATGTATTTTATTATTACTTTATATATATTAATTATTAAAGTAAGAATGGAGAGGAGAAAATATTGGTATTCCATCTACTAAGTTGGATGGGTGATATCAAAAGTAAGAATGGAGAGGAAAAATATTGGGATTCCCATCTACTAAGTTTATGGGTTGATACAAACATCATAGAGGATTTTAATTTTATTAGTAAAAAAATAATACTAATGTAATTTTCATTGGTTATATTAATTTACTATTTAAATTTAAATTCCATTGGATAAAATAACAAATTATAAGATATACTATATAAGGTATATATTAAATATGGTAAGAATATAATAACCTTAAGAATTTTAATTTTATTGTTTGAAAAAATAAATGTATTTAATTTTAATCAGCTATATTAATTTCATATTTAAAATTAAAATTTATTGAATAAAATAAGGAATTATATTATATACTAAATAAGGAATGTATTAAATATGGTAAAAATATAATATCTTTTAGGTTTTTAAATTGTATTGTTAAAAAATAAAGGAAATTTAATTTTGATCGATTATATTAATTTTCTATTTAAATTTAAATTCCGTTGGATAAAGTAACAATTCTATTATACACTATATGAGGTATATATTAAACATGGTAAGAATATAATATCTTTAAAGATTTTAATTATATTGATTGAAAAAATAAACGTATATTAATTTTAATTGGTTATACTAATTTCTTATTTAAATTTAAATTTTATTGGATAAAATATGAAATTATATTATATACAAAATAAGATATATATTAAATATGGTAAGAATATAATATATTTAATGATTTCAATTCATTGGTTAAAGAACAAAACGCAATTTAATTTTGATCAGTTATATTAATTTTCTAGTTAAATTTAAATTCTATTGAATAAAATAAGAAATTATATTATATACTAAATAAGGCATATATGAAATATAGTAATAATAAAATATCTTTAAAGATTTTAATTTTATAAGGCATATATGACATATAGTAATAATAAAATAATCTTTAAAGATTTTAATTTTTAATTGGTGAAAAAAAGTAGTTTTAAATTTTGACCAATGATATTTTAAATTTTTTATTTAATATAATTTTTTATATAAATAAGAGATTAATATTATAATAAAAATAAAATTTAAAGAAGAAGAGTTGTATAAAATAAGAAAATTATATTATATATATAATTTAAGAGGTGTTTTTTATAAATAAAGAATGTATTTATTTTTATTTAAATTAGAGTGCATAAATTATAAGTATACAGTTTAAGATTTATTTTTAATTGTTTGGAGAGGTAAATAAGGAATATAATATCTTTAAGAATTTTATTTTTATTGTTTAAAAAATAAGGTAATTTAATTTTGATGGGTTATATTAACTTTCTATTTAAATTTAAATTCTATTAGATAAAATAAGAAATCGTAAGATGTACTATATATGGTATAAATATTAAATATGACAAAATATAATATATTTAAGGATTTTAATTTTACAGCTAAAAATAAATATAATGTAATTTTAATTAGCTATATTAATTTCCTTTTTAAATTTAAATTTTGTTGAATAAAATAAGAAGTTATATTATAAATAAGATATGGATTAATATGGTAAGAATATAATATCTCTAAGGACTTTAATTTTTTTGGTTAAAAGACAGAGATGATTTAGTTTAACGGGTTATATAAATTTCTTATTTCAATTTAATTCTATTGAATAAAATAATAAATTATATTATTATTTTTATTGCGTAATTACGGTAATATATAACTATGGTAGAATATAATATCTTTACAGATTTTCAGAGTTTATTGTATGATAAATATAGGTAATTTATATTTGATGGGTTAATTAAGGGTGTTCGAGAAATCTATAGGAAAATTCCATTTGTAAATAGAATTACGAATTATATATGTATATTAGAGATATCATTTAACATATGTCAAGAATAAAGATTCATATTTGGATAAAGAATAAGAAATTATACATAATTATATTTATAATATACTGAAGATATATAAGTATTCATAATAAAAATATGAGGGAAATTTATCAATTGATATACTGTATAGGCAAAGGTATATATTAAACATGGTAAGAATATAATATCTTTACAGATTTCAATTTTATTGATTGAAAAATAAAGGTAATTTAATTTTGATGGGTTATATTAATTTTCTATTTAAATATAAATTCCATTGTAAAAATTAAGAAATTATATTATGTACTAAATAAGATATATATTAAATATGTCAAGAATATAAGAATTCAATTTGATAAAATAAGAAATTATATAATATATTAAATATACTAAGAATATAAGAATTCAATATAAAATAAAAAATTATATCAAATATGATATACTTTAAATATGGCAAAAATATAAGATTAAATTTAATTTCTCGATAATATTTAATTTGAAAAATAACATAAGTTTGCTAAAAATAATTGTTTTGAAACAACAAAAGTTTATTGCATAATAACATTATTCAAATTAATATTTTAACTTCTTAATTAATTAGTAAACTATCTTATTGATATTTACAACTAACTCTAATTCTTATAGCAAATAATTTTAAGAAACTAATAGATATAATTCAATTAAAAGAATTAAAAACTTGATACTTATTATTTAAATTTATTGTTATACTTTTATTTATTGTACTTCTAATAGTAGAATATAAAATTTACAAGGAATAACTTGTTTACAAATTATTTAGGAATTGTAAATGTAACTCAATTAGGAATATAAATCTTGTTGAATTACCACTTTATTATAGATTACCAATACATGTGTTTAATTCTTGTAAAACAAAGTCACCACAAAAAAAATATATATATATATTTTTATTTGGGTATAAGGTTTATTATTATTTTATGTCAAAGACTTTTCTACTGTCATTTTACTTCTTAATCTTTGAGATATTATTTTACATGAGTTATTATTATAAATTTTTATTTTTTTGTTCCATTTCATTATTTTTTTATAATATTCATTTATTTTGTTTACATTCATATTATAATCTTTACAATAAAATATTAAATCAAAGCACCTAATGCGTTTATCTTTTTTCTAAATAACTTATTATCATTTTTATCTTATCACAAAGAAACGAATCGATCATATTTAAAGAAAAATTTGAGTAACTATAACGAGTATTAACATAAGCAACGTACGTTGTCAAAAATTAGTGTGTGTGTGTGTGTGTATATGGACTTACATCCCATCGTGAAGGATAAAATTCCGTTGGATTTGGATAGATTTCAGGATCCAAATGAACGCTTCTGAACCACGTTAGAACTTTCCAACCCTTGGGGATTATATATCCTAAATGGAAAGGAATTAGATAATGAATTAATTAATTAATTATATATATATGTGGGTGATTTAAAAATGATTGACTTTAGCAGGTATTTCTGCAAGATCAAAGATTTATTTATAGAAATGTACTTATAGGCAGGAGCAGCCATGAATCTCTAAACAAGACTACTCCTATAGCCAAAAATGATATGTATATTCCTTACGGTATAAATTGCATGCATGACAAATAGAGACTCCTTACTCACCATCCAAATTGATATCTGCTTTTGCCTCTCGAAAAACCGTAAGTGAGAATGTTACCAATCGAAGAGTTTCATCGATCACCTACAATTAATAGAAAACAATATGAAAGATATATATTTTGAGAGAATTAATTACATTTGAATTAGTTATGTACCTAGGAAAGATAATTCATCTCAAATATATTAATTATGTTTGAATTAGTTATGTACCTGGGAAAGATAAATCATCTCTCGAGTTTCTTTAAGCGTCAGTCCTTTCTGAGTTGGTGGCCTCCTTTTAAGGATCTCCTCTTGCTCTTTCTACAAACACGATTCATTAATTGAAATGTAATGCAGGACTTTTGCTTGTATTAATATAGGTATTACCTTAGCCTTTTTAAGATATTCCGGGTGTGCTTGGAGAAAAATTGTAGCCCACATTGTAATATGTCCAGAAGATTCATGACCTGCATTCAGGTACATCAATAGAATATCAATAATTTCTTCATCGCTTAATTTTTGACCTTTTTCATCTTCAACATCTAGCAAAGCATCCATCATGTCTTTCTTCTTTGAGGACACAAGTCTACGTCCGTCCATCCTTTGATTTCTGCGTTCATTCACTACTGATTGGAATACAGCCACCAAATTCTTGCGTGCCTAAAATTTATATATTCATTTAAATAAAAAATAATTAGATAATCCATAAAGAGTAGTTGTCTCTCAAAACTCGTAATGAGGGTAGTTTCATATTTAAAAAGAATAGCATAGGATACTCTTGAAAAAAAAAAAATTGTATCATAAAAAGATGATGCACCTTAAGCGCTTTATGGTAAGCAAATCCTGGAAGATTGATTGCCATAGATCTGACCCCATAATTAAGTGAAGTATACTCCTTTTCCAAAGCCTCCATGACTGAAACACTTTCAGAGCCGAGGAAGATGTGCACAATGATCTTGAAAGTAAGCTTTCTTAATTGAGTCAAGAACTCAATCTCTCCCATAGAAGCCCATTCATCCAGCGCAGATATTACATTTTCTTCAATGTATAATATATATTGGGACAGAGCTTCATGACCATTTACTGGAGCAGAAGTAAGTCGTCGAAGACGCTTGTGCTCTTCATAAGAAATGGATACAAAGGATTTCTTTCCAATCAAATCTGCGGTGGATTTTGGCCAACCTGGTTGAAATGCTTCATCATCTGTTAATACTTTTCTGCATGTTTCTGGTGTTGTCACCAACACGCTAGGATTTCCAAACATCAAGGCCTTGTATACTCCACCACCTCCATATCTACATCAAAGCCCATCGCTCCATCAAACATATTTTTGCATGTTAAAACAGAAATTGGAGAAGACACATATAATGAATAAAAAATAAAATAAAAAAAAGACCTGGCGACGAAGTTGCGCATGAAAGAATCTGGGTCAGTGGACTTAAAAGCTTTAAGAAAGGACCACATGTTGCCAATGAAAGGCCAACCTAAATCGCCTGGAGGCAGCGAATACTGAATTTCACCGAGTTTGGTTTCATAAAGCCACCAGTTAACTTTCTTTAGAATCCATTTTAGACTCCCCAAAACACCTAATACTACTGCAAGCAGGATAGCCCAAGTGGAATCCACTTCCAGATGCATTGTTCGATGTAATATTTTTCAATCCTTTTGTCGCTGAAAGTCTATTAATTTTCAAATGAAGAATCAAAATGAAGGATTTATAACATAGTAGTAAAATCCAAACATGTATTTAAAGAAATGAAAACAAGACATAGAAAGAAATAAAATGCAATAAAGGTAATAAAACCAAATATGAGTTGTTATATACCATATATGAGTATTATCAAAAAAAAAAAATTACTATATATGGGATGTAAATTTAAGTTAATAGAAACGTCCTGATAATGTATTAGAACACCCCGAACTTTACAGGCCTTTACAATTTTTACTATATTTTGACTTTTAAGTCAATTTACCCCATTTTTTATCTTTCGTAGCAATTACATCCTTAATTGTAATTGAGAATGAAATTGCCAATAAAAAATTCACCATTTTTTTACAAAATTGGTAATAAAATAAGATTTTTATAATCATATCTAGTGGGCATTATATTTATAAATTTAGAAATATGATATTTGAGACATGTCCAATTAAAATAATTAAGAAATTTATTTATTTTTTATTAAATGAAAAATAGTTTAACTATATTTTCAATCCAAAAAATTAGAACCATTAGGATTTTTCCAAACAAAAATGTAATTGAAAAAATAGATATTTTATTAAATTAAATTTTATGCCATGCTTCGGGATTTTTGGGTAAATAAAAAATATATTATTAAATTACCAGTTACAAATTTATTTAACAATTAAAATTTAATCTATGCAATATTAATTGGATAAACTAATGCAACTTTGTAAATTTTTTATATAACTCACGTAATGATTTAAAAAAGATTAAAATATTGAATTTGATAAAGGGATCTTCAATGTATCCTAATCAGAGTAGAATAGAATTTTACAATAATGTGTATTATTTTTTAAAATTATATCTAATTAAAATAAAAGAAAATAAGTTTAGCATGAAAAGTTTTAGGTGAAAAAAGTTTACATGTTAGCTTAAAATAAAAGAAAATTAATAGTAAAAAAAAAATATTAAATAGTTGAGTCACACTTTCTAGACTTTCTAAAAATGGAGGGTGTGGTTCACAGTCTCTATTTTTTTTTTTATACGTCAGCTTAACAGATTAAATAAATAGTAATATCAGAAAATATATTGTTGTTCAACTGTCCATTTTTCTAATTTGGAAATTAGATAGGCCATAATCCATAATCCTTTTTTGGGTTTTAAGATTACGATGTCAAACTTTAATTTTTAATACATAGTCTCTAAAATTATTATTTTTCTATAATTAATATAAGAATAAATTAGTCAATCACAATTAATTTTTTTGAGTTTTTAAAATTATAGTATTAAAAATTTGATTTTTTTTCCTCTTTTTTGATTTTAAAAATCTAAATTATTTATTGCTGAAATTAATACTGTACTAAAAAAAGCTTGTAAAATCCATGGTTGTATCTAAACCATCATAATCAAAATTGAAGAAAATCAAATAATGGTATATTAATAATGTTAATAAAATATTAAATTATTAACTAAAAAAAAAATGTTATTTTCTCTCTCCCTCCCCTTTTTCTTCCACGCTTGTCCAGGTCCACACTCCATTGAGACAAAATAACAAACACCTAATATGAAAAAATGCCTATATGAAGTGCATCACAAAACCAAATCTCAGAAGCCACCGTACATACACCAAATATTGCCAAGTTGATACTCACCTTCCGAAAATACCCATTAAGCATTAATTAGTTTACTATAAAAGTTTTTCTTTTTTTTTTTTTTTTTAAGAAAAAAGAGTCAGGTCCCACACTCCATTGAGACAAAATAAGCAAACACACGTAATATGAAAAATGCCTATATGAAGTGGCATGCACAAAACCAAATCTCAGAAAAAGCCACCGTACATACACCAAATATTGCCAAAGTTGATACTCACCTTCCGAAATACCGCAATTAAGCATAATTAGTTTACTTAAAGTTTTTCCTTTTTTTATAAAAGTTTTTTTTTTTTTTTTTTTTTTAAGAAAAAAGAGTTCCATTTTTATATTGCTTTCCTTAATAACAACAAGCATTTTGGGAAACAGATAATTCAATGGATCAATGAAAATAAAATAAAAAATAATTTATCAGCAACAGAAGAAGAGTGTGTGTCTCACGCACGATTATTAGCTAGACATGAGGTATATTACGTACAAAAATTAAAAACTTAAGTGCCTGATGAGTCATTCAAAAATATTAGGTATCAAAAGATTTAAAATGTAAATGTTAAATCATCATACCATTTTAATATTTTATGTTGACCCCTAAAAAAAATTTCTGCTCTATAAATGATAAGTGAATTGAATAAATTTTAAAGCAGATTATTAAAAGAATTATAATATCACTCACATAATTTAATTAGTAAGTATATTTGGAGCTCTCCGATATGATTTTAAAATAAAAAATTCATAATTAATATCAACCACAATTTTTTGAGATGGACAAAACGTAAAAATTGAGATTGATTTTATTAAAATGACTATGTGACAAGACAATCAATTAAATACTTATGGTATGATATTTATATTTTTTTAAAAAAAGTTCAATTTCAATCGATAAAAGTACTAAATATATAATCAATAGTTTAAATTCATAATTATTTGTTTACATATAATATTTAATTGATTTTCATATTTCTTATGTTAAAAGATTTTTAGATTTTAATAATTTATCTAAATTATAATATGCAAATTTTAGGTACTTAGCCTTTATTTGTTCCTAGAAAATAACTTGCTTAAAAAATATTTTTAAAAATTTTAGATGTTTAGGATGCTCAAGAAAATCAATTAATAGAAAATATTTTTCTGTTCAAAGTAAAATTTAAGTTATTTTATTAAACGTGAAAACATTTTTTAAATATTAAACAAATTTATGAACTTATAAATACACATTAATCTACTGATCATCAATAGCACCACTGCTAGTCACTAGTCATTGTTGACCATAACCAATAGTCACCAGCCACTAAGGCCACCATTACTGCTCGCTAATTATTAAAATTTATCTTTTTTATTCATTTTTCTCATATTTAACAATTTCTAAATATATAAATTTAATTATTTTTCAATATTATAATTAAACAATAGAAAAAAGCATATATATTAAAGTTGGATGTTATGTCGATTTGTAATAATTTTATATGCTCACTATTAAGAGAAAACAAATTGAATTCGTACTGTTTCTAAATAATTTTGTCATTATTTAAAAATAATGCTTTCATTATTTTTTCTTCTATCACTGCTATCCTTCATGTTTTCTTTTTCTCTTCTTAAGCGTATGGATGTCCTAATTTTTAAAAATTGCTGTATCTGTACGTCCCTGTGTCTCGTGTCCTGTGTTCGTGCAACTTAAGTCCTGGTATACAAAACTACTCCATACACTAAGCTAAACAACCAAGGTTTTGTTATTACCAAATAAAAATGAAGCGTCTTTTTAATTTGTTTTTGAGTCATTGAAATAAGAAATTAAGTTTTTTTTTTTTATTATGTGTTAATGATTTATTATAAATATTTATTTATTTATTTATTTGAAATATTAATATATTACTTATTTAGTATATTACGTCCTAAACGTGTGGATATTGTACCATTTTTAAAAATTATTACGTCTCATATATTCCCATATCTATATATTCTCGTATGTCGTGTCCAACAAATACTTTGAGAATTTGAATATATATATATATATAGAGAGAGAGAGAGAGAGAGAAAGAGAGAGAGAGAGAGAGAGAGAGAGAGAGAGAAGAAGAGAGAGAGAGAGAAAGAGAATATATATATATATAGAGAGAGAGAGAGAGAGAGAAAGAGAGAGAGAGAGAGAGAGAGAGAGAGAGGATGTAGGCATGAAACGTAGTGGGTTTTGTCTAGAATTTTTGGTAATGATGATTAGAGACATGGCAGAATCGGGGTTTTAATCAGAACAAGCACAAATATAAACTTTTTTCGTCCCATTTTATTTGGTTGTTATTCCTTTTTTAAATATCTCAAAATGTTTGAAAGGTTTTTAAATTTGTATATTTAAACAATTATTTTTTCCATAATAACCTTTATGATCGTTCATTAAATGAATGACTTTATTGATATCTTAAAAAGTTAAGAGTAAAAAATGATAAAATAATTTTTATTGACTAAATTTTTAATATGCATGTTTTTTCAAACCATGTAAACAAAATGAGACAGAGGGAGTATATGTTAGTGTAATATTAAGAAAATATTTAAAGAAAATTTGATAGTTTCCATAATATATAATTCAGGATTTATCATTTCAAAATTAGTACTTAATAAAATTTAATGCTCACTTAATACTTTTATTATTAATTACTACCTCCGTTTCATAATACTTGTCACATTTGAAAAAATATTATTCCAAAATAATTGTCATATTTATAGTTTCAAGGAGTAAAAATTTTTTTTTATATTTACCTTTTGTATATGATCAATAATTATTACTTCAATTTAATAGTTTTCTTAGAGAAATAGTGTTAAGCTCTCAAAAATTAAGGATTGAGTAAATCATGAATCACCCCTTACTGGGGTAAAGTTGGAGTATTTATATTGAATTCCAGGTAGTTGTATTAAGATAAGGATTATGAATCATATATTATTTGTTAATTGTAGTTGTATTAAGATAAGGATTATGAATCATATATTATTTGTTAATTTGAGTTCATTTAGGAGTCTAATATTATTATTTTAATATATTTCATTGTTATATGTTAATAGTAGTCCCCCATCAGTTATTTGGTCATTTTATGTCCAAATGTAGTGTTTGTGCTCCTTCATTGTCTGGTTATTTCATTATTTATGTGTATACTTAGCTGTTATTATTTATTAGCAAGCTTTTATTGTGTCTTTTGTTTGTAAAGGATGTTATGATAGTTTTATTTTGTGGGGAACGAGGCATCGGTCTGAGAGGGGAGGGTACTTGAAGAGTTGCCTCATTAAATTAGATGACCTTTCAGTGTCTCGCCTAGGCTATATAAGGCCCCTCTTTCACTTTATTTGTTTCGCTTCTTAACGACTGACCTTCAGAGCATCTCTCTCTAAAACTGTTTCTCTCTCTACCTTCTTCCAAGTAAGTTTATTTTACT